CAAGGGGGTTTTTACCCAAGCCCAGATGCTGAATAATACGAATGAATTCTCCGTCAGATCCGGGACCGCAAAAAATGGCAGAAACCTAAAACCTTTGAATTGTAAAGGCTCAGCAATTAAAGCCAAGCTTTCAAGATCTCAAATCTCCGGATCCTTTTATGTTTGTAGAATTCTCCTCAAAACCTTCTGAAACATTTCTGAAAACTGAAATCCTCTGAACTCCTCAAACATTGAAATTAATTTAAGCCTAGGATCCGAGCCGATCCTGATCCCTACTATTGAATTTGGTTTAAGCCTAGGATCGGGGCCTACCCGCCCCCCTCCACTAATTGGGGACCCTTTTTTGTTTGGCGTGGGGGGCCCCCTCTACACAAATCAGAACCCAACATCATGGTAAAAAAAAACTCCACAAAAAAATGAAACTGCACAACACTGTCTATAGAGATTTATTTTCTCACACGCGCAGACTGCTTGGAAGCTGCCCGGAGAGGCTCTGAAGCACCGAGGCTGCACCTGCCTCAGCTGTTTAGGTCGAGATCTTTTTCCCGTTCTTCATGCGCGGTGGAGGTGTGAGCTTGTGAGGACATACAAAAAACTGAATCTCTCAGATGCAGGCCTCTCGCACCGCAGGAGCCAATTCTGCAAATTCTGCGACGTTGGTCAAAGCGGAGGCGGCGCGCCAAGCCTGTACATTCACATTAGCCATGTTCTGATAACGTCCTGCTGAAAATGGAGCAGTAATCCCGATCAATGCAAATCAGACCCATACAGCCTGGCTGATTCTAAGCCAAGCAGAAATGACGGTGTCAATTCAGCCTCCGGATGCTCCGGCCCACGCTTGGCAACGTCCAAAAGGAGACGAATGCCTTTCAGACCAACCCTGGCTTCAAATCATCCAAACTTGCAGCAGTTCAGAAAGATAGCCTTGAATTTGGAGTACTAGCAGCAAGCAACAACACCCAAGTCATGCACCCCACTGGTGCATTCCATGCCAAATTGCTTACCCACACAACTCCCAAATGGCATGACCAGGCGGATGCAAGTCGATGAGATCAAGAGTATGGGACGCTGTACCTTGAAATGTTCTCATCGGCAACGTTTCTCATGGTCAAAGCGGTGCTCGAGCAGAAAGATGGCTTCTTCTACACAGTCTACAGCTACACAGCTCGCAGTGAATCGATGATGGCAATTGCATTGAGTCGGTCAGCCTCCGCCCTGGCAGATTGCCATCGCACCAGCTCGATCCGCAGCAATGTTCCGGAGCCTGAGGCTCTAAACAGACCCTCAGTAGGCTGAGAATTTTGTTGCTCTCGTAGATTACATCCCCACCAAGACACGTCTGGGCTGCAGCCGCCACAACCTCTCTGAGCAAAACTATCAGATCTTAAGACGGAAACTCTTCAGCTGCATCTTTGACTATAGGATTGTTCCTTTGGCGCTGGGTTATAGCAAGGGCAAGATGTACACTTTAGTTTCCAGCTGAACAGAGAAGGAAAGAAGCAACATGTAAATTTCGGATCTCAATAATTACCATGCATGCGGTAACTGGACACTCAACAAGCACAGACTGCTACCTGGCCTCCGATTGGCCACCGGGAAGCAAGCCCAGTAGCCTGGGAATCAAAGCCGATGACAAGCTCCAAACGAAGCAGCCTTAACTTCCCAGCCTGATTACAGCCCCGCTCTGCCGTGCTGCCTCTCGGTGCTCTTTAGCACCACAGCAGAAATCCTCGCTTGCAAGCTTCGAGCAAAGAGGCTCCCAACACAATCACCGATTTACTTGCAACCCTGCCTATGAACCTGCGGCAACTGCCGCTTAGCCGGTGCACGTGTCCTTGCATGAATGAAAACGAACTTCTAGTCCTGCCAATCTGCAAACAAGTGCGAGCGCTACCACTGTGCTGACGGTCAGCTGAGCATTCCATGCATTCAGCTGTTCTTTGTTTTGAGCCTGTGCGCAAATCTTGCCCACAGCTGTCAAAGCTGGAGACTTGGAAGGCCTGGCTACATAAGCTAAAAACTTGTTTTAGCCTGTGCAGTCCATCAGATTCCAAAATTACTCTCGTTTTTGCCACTTTCGGTTTCATCAACGCCGTCGTGTCGAAAGAAGAAAACTGCTCTGCTTGCGCCGAGAAACGCGCAAAGCCGTCAGAGCAAAGAGTTGTTTCTCCTGACCAGAACAAATGCACAAAACTGGAGCGTCTGAGGCCGGGGAACTTAAGTTGTCCCATGTTTTTCCTGACATTGCAAGGCCAGCGTCAGCCATGGACCGATTTGCAGTAAGTCATTCGTGACACTAGCAGTCATTTACAGCACTCAGCGTTTTGCAACCTCTCGTGCACAGGCACCTTGCAGCTCTCAACACCGCATGGCAACGCTGCAACCAGCGAAGCAATCTTGGCAGCAGACTGAACCTCCTGCAAGAGCAAACGTGATTTGCATCAGGCACGAGAGGAGACTGCAAAGTACCGCGGCTTCAAAGGCTCACAACTTGAAGGACTTCAGTAAACAATGAAGGGACTGTAAAAGCAAAACTGACCCAAACAACCCATCTTGCATCCTTTCGGGCCGCTTTGGGCTGTCCGGGCTTGGATGGTGCGGAGAAGTCTACCTGCAAACGAGAACAGAGCTAAGCACAGCAGTCAAAGCGCATTGCAATGCCTGGTAGCCCTCAAGAAGAGCGTCCGGGATGCCACCCGAAAAAGCGCCATGGCGGATGAGGCAGACCTGGGCACAAATGTTAGCCACAATTCCCGACACATCCACTTCCTGCCAAGTTTTTCTGAGCCGCCGCTGCCTCCTCGTGGTTGTTGGCCACGGCCCACTGGAGAGCCGTCCTTGCATGAAAATCACACTCGGATACAAGCGATACTTGTAATTGCAACAGCAAGTATCCAGTATCCCCCTAATAAATAGACAGCATGAGCTTAGTCATAGAAGAATCATGACGATAATCCTAGGGGCAAGAACCTTGAAGTCATCAATATTGTTTTTCTTGTTTCTAGTACACCGGAACTAGCAGTAGGAAGCCGGTCCGTGTTCAGCTGTGGTATAGTTCCATGTTTCAATGGTCTACGCGCTTCAAGGCTGCTTTTCTGTAGCAAACACCTGCATCGCACTGGTGCGCTTGGAACAGTTCATTTTGAAAAACCATTCAGTGTTGGTTCCGGTTCGTTCATGTGCGTGCATGCGAAACCACAGTTTCGGCAAGGGTTTTGTCGATGTTCCTTCACACTTCCGAAGTTGGCCTTTCTGAGCTTTTCCTCGTTTTTTTGAATTTCGTCGCTTCCACACTCTGCACAGCACCCCACTTTCTTGGGACGTTTCGAGTGTTTTTCCGTTGTCGACTTTGTCGTTTCCACGCTGCCGTATGCTCAAGACCTCAATGTGTTTATGTTCGAGGGCGTTTTCCATGCTCCCGCCTCATGTTTCGGGCAGGGAAGTACCATGAATTTCGTGTTTGGGACGTGCTTCGCTCTCATGATTTAGGGTGTGGGGGGTAACTACATGCAAGCCATGCGCAGCGTTTCTGTCTATAAGACCTTGGCAACCACTCAGTCAACGAAATATAACGAAATCATTCGAAGTTCTCGTACTGCATGTGTAGAAGCCTGGCCTGAGGGCCCGATGAAAATATTGAAAAAACAAAAACAAATGGTTTCTTCAAAAAACGGGCGGGTTTCCTTACAGCTTCCACGCTGTCGTATGCTCAACATGAAGAGTGTCAACGGTTGGCGGCGACTCGCCCCACTTGCCCCAGGTGACCCCTTGCCCCCCTTGCGAAATTGCATCACTTGACCCACTTGCCCCCTTGCCCTGCTTGACCTGGGGCAAATTGCACATCTCGCTATTGCCTCTGAGTGTGACAGGCACCTAGCGTGCTGTTGGCCACTACCTGGATGCTATGTAGCTGTAGCGAACCCTGGTGTAGTTGTAGACGGATGGTTTCTATGTAGCTGACCAACATCGGGAAACACCGGAACTTCAAGTGGGTTATTCGGAGCGGAACTTCTTCGTCAGTGGCTCATGCACTCATAGCAGCCCCGGCGCATTCATTGCTCTTCCACCACGCTGTACACAAGGCGACCGACCGGCTGTGAAGGAATGGAAAAAATACGAGCAATAGCAATAATCGTCATACTCGTAACACTAGCGGAATAGACGACACTTCCCCAAACACACCTGCATGCCAGGTCCAAATAGAGAAGTGTACCGAAAAGTTTTGCCACCGCATCTGGCTCAAGGCACCGACTGAAAAGATTAGCTGTCTTCTGGAGTTGAGTGGTGCCATTGCCGTCAGCAATCTGGCGACAATGCTAGACAGTCGAGACCATGGACCCTGCAAGGCCAAACGCAGACACATTATCAAAGGTCTCTCCAAACAAGCAGCCGTTGAAGTCACTCTTCCTCAGGTTTCCGTTGCTCCAATGATCTTCATGGCATCCATGGGATAGGGGTTCATCCTGGCAATCATATCGATAGGGAACTTTTATGGTTGCGGAATAAATTTATGAGTTGTTTTTTTTTGAATGCTTCGTTTTTTTATTATCAACAGTCACAGGGATTGCGAGGGTCGGGGTTCCAAAAGTGTCAACCTTCACAGGGATCGTGAGGGTCGGGGTCACGATCCTCGTAACTGTCGTCGCTTTTAGACCCTCGACCCTCTTGGAGGTTCAAACAGGGTGAAAATTTGTAAAACCATGAAAAATCATGGAAATGATGGTAAATGATGAAAGCTTATGAAATTTCACGAAAGATGAATGATGCAAAATGATGAATCTATCATGAACATGATGAAAGAACATGAAAATCGTGAACAATGATGAGAAATGATGACACATGAAAACATGATGGAAACTGATGAAAAATGATGACTCAAGCATGAAAATGATGAAAAATCATGGAGATGATGAAGCATGATGAATCAACCATCACCAATCAGGAAGAATGATGAAAAATGTGAGAAATGATGGAAATGATGACGAATCATTACGAATGATGAAAGATGATGAAACAACTTCATTACAAAGATGCAAAGGGCTGCTGACATTTCAAAAAAATGATGAATCAATCATGATGAAAATCATGAAACGATGGAAAATGATGACAAGTGATGAACCAATCATGAAAATTATGAAAACATGAAACATGATGAACATAGAGTGGCCCTTGAGCGGGAAACGCAAGAGGATTCTGAAAGTAAAGCTCTAGTAGTATAGGCTAAGTATTATTTAGCCGCTCTGCTAACTTTTGAATCCTGAATTGAATAGTATAGGCGAAGTATTATTGGGCTGGGCCTTTTGCTACCTTTTGAATC